GGAAGAAAAGCTGTGGCCAGACATATTGACTAGAATGGGGCAAACACCAACTGTTCTGGAGGCTGTGGTGTAAATTCGACAAAGAATTACTTGTGCAGGCAGCTAGCGCTGTCCTCCAGTTTGGAAGACTGTGGGAGCACTTTCTTTTGTACTATGCTGCCGTCAGAAATATATTTATATGCACATATAGATATACGTATGTATAGCTAAGGGAGCAAAACCTATACTATTTATTCGCAGTGAGGATACCCGAAGGAGTGCAATGCGATTGGCCAGGAGTTGCGCATCAAGTTCAGCTTGCTTCCGCTGGTCCTTCGCCTCCGCTAGGGATATCTTTTCAGTATGCGGCGTGACCGCCATGATGTACGGCTCCCCTACGCGAGCTCGCTGTCAATAGAGGGAATATTCCTGTGGTGAACTACAAGGTGTTGAATCCCCATGTGTCGCCGGGCGGCAACATGGGAAGCCTAGAGAAGGCAGCTGAAATAACAGTCCAGGCAGTGCAGCTCGCTAATTCTTAAATCCCTTCACTTTCTATATGCGCGGCATGTGTAAGACGTCGAATCGAAGCGTTCAACTCAACACCGGAATTATTCCATTTGCAGTTTCAGGCAGCACAGTCGTTTAGCTGACGCAATTGTTTGGTTCGACGCAAGTGGCCACCTCAGTGTGCGTGTGTTCTTCAGTATGCGTGTGTTTGAGTNGGTGGGCTCAAAGCTAGACAAGAGGCAGATGCATCATGTCGCGAAGGGTGGCGCTTCTGGCCCGATCTAAGAAGGGTATTCCATCCGTTCTTTAGTGGGGAGTGTGCAAGTTGAAAATGTTGCAGTGGAGACGGATTAACAGTACGGCCTACAAAGGCCTCAGTCAACAGCCCAACGGGGCAGTAGTCATAAAGGCAGAGCTTGCTGGGATTAAAAGGTGAGAGCGAAAGTGTGCCCAAAGAGAGGGAGCTGTGTGCTCTACTAGCCCCGATAGTATTTCCAGCCCTTTACAGCTAAAGAGCGCCAGCTTTCTCCCTCGCGCCCGTCCACACCTCAGCTCGACTGCAAACAAGCTGCAAGCCATGTGGAACAGAAGACCCGTGAAACTCCAGGCAGCAGTTGCCTTCCCCTGAGGCTTCGAATGGCCCTAAGCAGCCATCTTGATAAAGTACAAACAACAGCCCCGCATTCCCTGGGTGCGTTTATATTGCACGCCGCCCAGTCGCCGGGCACATGGTACGGGGCCCTGACTAAACAACAGCATCATAGTCCTTTAAAGATAGTATTTTGGGNAGTATTTTGGGCTATTCAAAACATTGTTTGTGGTAAAACAGAGAAAATTTAACTTATATCTCTTGGAAGCTCCCAGAAAAAGGGGTATACGCCATGCCGCCAAGATGCCCCACAAGTGACCCTGCGCAGTTGGCGGCGAGGTGCTCGGCCTGAGCTTGTTCTACATATAAACGGACCTCTATGAATGAGCCAATGAATTTATAGTTATTCAGAGGAGTCTCAAATATATTCTGGAGCATTTTCGGAGGAATACGCTAGCGTAAACGCTGCAGTTGCAACACACGACTTGGCGGCTCGTTGCCTTGACGCCTCTCGCCCTTGTGCTGCACATGAAGCAGTCTTTCTGGCCATGAGACAGTAGAAACTCTAGCAGCATCTGTGTTCTTTTTCCGTTTACCCTTACTTTGAAGCATCCGAGGCACAGCTCGTTAGAGTTGTCTCCCTGCAGTGACGCCCTGGCGGTACCAGGGAGTCACTCCCAATCAGTCACCAATATAGAATAGTCTGGTGAAAGAACCAAAGCCAAGACCTTTCAGTGCTGTTGCCGAAGCAGTTTTAGAGTGGCAAGCAAAGTCTCTGGCGCACATTTTCGAAATCTCCGCCCACCCTGCTCCCTTCATCATTCGTAGGGGGAAATTGCTTATCCGCCCCTGCGGCCTCAGAAATGCAGAGTAAGTGTTCTACGTACGACAGATGAGGTACTGCGGCGTCACAATGGCCTTTCGCTGCCAAACGACCGGATTCACGCTAAAAATTGTCCATATATATTTCATGTATATGCAACCGTAGACACCATATATATATATTTATATATATATATATATATATATATATATATATATATATATATATATATATATATA